TACTTTAATTACCTCACACACAGAGAGACAGCACGTTTAACCCTAAAGTAACCAGAATTCCGTAGTATGCTAACTAAGCTACTGATAAATGCTAATAGAAAATTATATTAATACGAAATACATAGATAGATAGATAGATATAGAACAAATGATCGTGTTTACCACATAAATATTTGTCCTGGATAAGAATCGAAACTCAGGCTCAGCAATGAGGATCCACCTGACAGGAATAAATTTGAATTTATCCCGAGAACTCTAAGTATTGCTGCTTCCAAACCGTATTCAGAGATATCGTCACATTAATTAATCTATATATTTATATATATAAAATAAAATAGAAAATAATATATATTTTTATATTTAAAAATGTAATCAATATGTATATATAATTTAATAAAGAGAATAATAATAATATTTTCACACATCTCACACACGGCCGTCTGATCCCAAACTAGGCAGAGCCTGTGCTATCTTAACTGAGCCTGTGCTATGGTACTAAGACTGCTGATAAACATACTTATATATTTCTAAATACATACATATTATAGATAAACCGTGCTCATCGCACAATTATTTGTCCTGGGTAGGAATTGAACCCCACGACCTCTGGAGTAGCAGTCAGGGTCACCAACCACTAGACCACCGGGCCAGTCAGACGTTAAAGATGCACAACCGCTTTAAGGATTGTTTTTATCTATTTTTCTTAAAACTTAACTTAACTTAACTTTGTTCTTCGTTTCTCATCAATACAAGTACAATTTACTAAAGCGACGCGTGGCGGATTACAACTAGTCGTAATAGTACAGCTAGTATAATTATGTTAATGTATTATAATATGGAAATGGGTTACTCCGAAGTCAGAATCAATTATGTAAAGTTAACGACCCCTGGGAATCTCAAACACGTGAATTAACCATAACTAATTTTTCTAGCGATAGTAAATTTAATAGTAATTTCCTAAATCACTTGCAGAAAATTATTCTGTGTTTATCGAATGTCCAGAGCGGCATTGGTAGGCTCGTATCAAAAATGGCTAGGTAGAGGGGGTAACACAGAAGACAGTGGGGGTGAGCGCCAACCCCTAAACCTATACCTGGGTCGCAAGTCCCAGGCGCTGTCGATGTCGCATGTGTTGCTCCCATTTATCACGCGATGAGCCCGGCACCCGCACGGTGAATCCATGGAACGCGAAGAAATAGGTATAATGATTATCTCTACTTGAGTGAATTAATGCGATCTATGTTTTTAAGTCGGTAAATAGCTATCGCGAGTTGTGTTCGTATTTCGAGGAGTTTCGGGCCCGAAATGGCCTTTTTCAAGGAGTGCAGCACCCAAGTCCCTGACGCCATCGCAGCAATGAGGATACTGCACTCATACGAATTTCAAATATGTATATAAATAAAAAAATTACGAGTCAAAGTCGTGGCTGATGTGATTTTAATGATAATAAAGATATTTTACTTATTTTTTTTTACATTAAGCAATGTTTCCACATATAACTGCAGATATCCTGCAGTTCAGCAAGACTTGTAGTCCATTACAAAAAAGAAAGTTTCCAGACTTACATAAAAGAGTCTGCAGACAGTCAAGAAACTGCTGACTCCTTACTAATTCAATCTGATCTTTACAAAATCAATTCAAACGAAAGTATTTTAAGAATATTTTATTAAACAACTTATTTATTCATATCATCATCATATCATGCGACAATACCGCCTCTCCTGCAGCTCTTGGCTAAAAATTATCAAAATTACGTAGTAACAAGTCTATATTATGTATATATATTAGAGGGGGCAGACGAGCAGACGGGTCACCTGATGGAAAGTGACTATCGCCGCCCATGAACGTCTGCAACTCAGAAGTCACAAACGCGTTGCCGGCCTCTTAGGAAGGAGTACGCTCTTTTCTTGAAGGGTTGAAGGTCGTACCGGTCCGGAAATACCGCAGACCCGATACCGATAACCCGTTCCACAGATTGGTTGTGCGGGGCAAAAAGTGTCTCGAAAATGAAAATTTAGTTTTTTTTTTTGACTCTAGTTTTATCTTATTTTTTTTTAATGGAAAAGACATTGAATACATTCAATGTCTTTTTTGTATGGAAACCTCAACAGGTCATTCTTTTACCTAACTCTTCTTTTCTCTTTGCACTTTGGCGTATTTGACTTCCTCGAAGAACAAAGCACCGGAATTTCATGCTCTCGCACATCGGACCATGGCCATAAGGTCTTGTTTTATGACTCCTCAGTTGCAGATGTCCATGGACAGCGGTTACCATCAGACGTCCCGTCTGCTCTTAAAAAAACCTTTACTAAAACGAGTAAATTTGAGACTTACAACAGAAATGGCTTTTATAACCAATTATACTAAATCTAAATAAAAATAACATTTGAATACACTGACACTACACAAAATATTTACAAGAAGACATTATTTATTTACAATATATTGTTATTCAAAGACTAAATTGGCATAAAGGTTAACTCTGTATAATTTTGTTAAGACAATAAATAATATTCCAACATATAATTCACTACTAACAAAGCAAAGACTATTATGTCTAAACCACCGATAATTTGCGTGTATTTATACCCGTTACAATATATTTTCTGCCATAACAGCCAAAGCTATAAATTTAACTACATTTTAAATCCCATCTCGTTTAAATCATCATGTATCCAATTAAAATTATGATATGAGTAACTGACTAATTCATCAACGCAGATCCTAAACCGTTGGGGCTACAAACCTGGAATTTTGGACAGCTGATATTTATGTTGAAAGCACATACTAAGAAAGGATTTTAGGAAATTTCACCGCTTACGAGATAAAATAAGGGATATAGGGTTGTACGGCAGTCCGTTATTTTCCAAGTTAGAAACACGAAATAAGAATAATTCGAGCTTAACCGCGAGCCATAGCTAAATTTGAATAAAATAATTATGAAAATCAATAGCAAGAATACTTAATGTTTGTATGTAGAAGGCCACATAGCTAAATAATATGTGCTATAAACCTAAAATTGACGTCAAAACGGGTACATAAAAACTATAAAATAATAAGTTTATTTCAGACATAGTCCATAAAATTTGTTAGTAACAATTCTTTTGGCCAAGAGATATTAACATCAGTCAGGCGCTTGGTCCAACGTGTAGCCATTAGTCCATTCGACCGGGGCAAGCGGCCTGGATGGCGCTGGGGCTGTGCCCGTGCCGTCATTTATGCATAGCGCTTACGCATGATTGCGTGGAATCTGTGCGCCTCTGCAAACATACCACTCGCGCGATGAACACCCTGAACGCATCGTAGGTCCTCTGCGTACAATTGAACCACAAACTGGCTGTAAATATGCCTCTGTTTACCTCTTTAGGCGTGGGTTTATGTATTGGTGGTGTTCACATGCAATGTCTTTGTAGAATGCACTTAAGGTGCGTAGGCTAAGTAGGGGTTGCTTAATTGTGACCTGATTGTCTTTCACGTTGATTGCCGATAGACTTAGAATTTATACTAAGCAATGTACACGTTAATTGATTTTATTTTATTGTAGTTTGCGACATTTATGTATTAAAGAAAATATTTTAAACAGACTTCACAGATTAAAAAAGGATGGAGTTCCAAAATATAAAAAAAGAGTTCTAGAATTTGACAGTTTTCCTGCCTTTACCTGTCAGTTAACCGAGTTATGCAATAACTAGGTTAACTGACAGGTAAAGGCTTTCTAAGAAGTTTGGTTTTTGCCTACTTCTAGTTATTAAAAAAAAAACATTTTTTTCTTTTCATGCTACGAGTTGAAAGCTCTATAATTAGCGCAGGCTATTTCTTTTTAAGCAAAAATGTGGTGTGACTAGTGTGTTTTTATTATTATTATTTTCTCTATTTTTTACCTTTCATTTCATTTTCTCTTTTAATTGATTTTTGTTCTTAATCTTGTTTTGTCTTCATTATCTTTTTGCCTTTTAGTCCTTAATAACGGACATACTGGCACACATCAAATGTTGTGGTATATTTAATAGTGCCATTGTATCTATCTGTGAATTGCAAAAGAGTGGCCATGAGTTTGTTTGCCCTTTCTTCTCATCAAGCTCAACCCCTTGGAAACGGGCGGTTGAAGATCGGCACAGGCATATCATAGATTTTGTATGGGTTTGATTTTTGTTAAATTTATTTGTTTACTATTTGACAAAACAGAGATTGTTGCTTTTGTGTCTGTTGATCAATGACTTTAGAGTCTACATAAAAGACGATTTCAGACAATTCTAAAAAAATATAAAATAAAGAGAGTTTGAGTTTGAGTATTTATATAATTTTCCTGCCAACGCAACCGAGTTGCACAGCTATCAATTACTAAGGAGATTTGATTTATTGTATGCAATCTTCAATGTTCATAAAATCTTACTTAAAAAAAAACTGAAATGGATCACCATCTTTAAATGCTGCTTTGAGGCTCAAAAGATTTAAAAATAAGGCTAATGTTTAAAAAAAGATAATCTTCGAACAGCTAAATAGTTTTTTTAAACTAGGACAACTCCCGCATTAGGAAAATTTTGCTCTGTCATTCTTTTACAGATATTTATGAAACGAACTTAAAGAACACCCAGACTCAGAACAACAATTTGCGGATCACACAATGTGTCGTCCATCGAACCCACATTACTCTGCGTAGTAGGAATCGCCGTAGCGACCGCTTACACCACTATACCATCCGTACAGTGCATGCTACAGGAGACAGAGACAAAAATGAAAGACTAATTCGCATAGAATCGATTAATTCGCATTTTTTTTATTTTTTGCTATTCATATTATTATTATTTTGAAGGCATATGCATAGGATCTATACTTCCTATAAATTAATGAGAAAAACAACAATGTTCAATTTTTTGGAGACACTTTCAAAATCTATTTTTATTACTTAATTATTTGAGTGTAAAACACAACATATCATCTACTACTCTATTACTACATTTCTTAATAAACATTGTTTTTCCATACTCCACCATAAAATTTTATATCAAACCATATTCGACAAATTCTTCAATAACTTCTTGTATGTGATCTTTAAAAGTATTATTTAAACTTAAATGTACTTCTTTCTGCATAGCATCTGGTACTTGTTTTCCAGAAGATAAAAGGAAAGGTAAAAGATATATCGCAATCATTAGACCAAAGTCAAGTTTTTCATCAAATACCCTGTCATAATCTTCTCTAGGGTATACCACGTTTACATCCAGTTGAAAGTACTTCAAAAATGTACGCAGTGTTTCGTAATACAGCTCCTTTAAATTTATTAAATTGTCTTTACGAAATTTTCTATCCGTGCTGCAGTACATTAAATATAAGAAGTCGAACACCGGGTTTCCGTAGTGCATCAGTTGATAGTCTATAGGAGTTATTTCTTCTATTCCATTCTCCTAGGGTACAAAGGAAAATTTATTGAGATAATAATAAAATTATACTCAAAAATATATGTAGTTTTGGAAACTTATACCAATATTAAAGATCAGTAATGTTTATCTATCAAAGAATGCTCATGTAGGAAACCAGAATGCAACGTATTAGGAATGCGAGCCAATCATCGCTTAAGATTTTTTTAAGAAAATACAATGTTTGTTTTAAAAAACATTTCAAATGTTAAAACTGTATTACAAGAGAGTAAACGAATTTTGCTGTCGTCGATGTTTACAAATCTTAATTCTCAAGTTCTTTAAGGACTTACTTAGCCACCAAAAGACTCATACTATTAAAGATCACACTTAAAACCAATGAGATGGAAATAAATTATATTCATTCACTCCAAAAGACACTTCATAACATTACAAAACAGCTTTGACCAAAAATACTTACGTTCAATTTCATAGACATGCCTTTATAGACTCATCATTGTGGTACTTACAAAATTTGTCCATTAGCAAGTCATAAGCTTTCTCAACATTATCCTTGAATATTTCATCCACAGCGTTAACACTTGCTTTCCGGTTACTGTCTCTTGCATATGCCCAACCTTCTTTGAAAATAAGTGCAATATGCACTTATTAATTATTAATTGATTTTATTTTTTCGTTAAAATATTTCGGTCTTTTTTCTTTCAAAACAAATGACAGCGCATGGAATTTCGCAAGTTCTTTCACCGACATTTGAAAGAAAATCAAAAATGGTACTTCCATTCTTGAATTTATAATAAGCCCTTTCTTGGCAACGTTTTGCAATACAAGTATCTCTCCACTACTTTCCTTGTACATTTTAACCTTTTTGTATTGTTCTTGTAATTTCACGTTAGCATGTTCTTGTAGATCTATAAATTTTTCTAGCATATCTGTGTAAGCGAATAGCTCATTTTCAAACATAATTGTTATATAATAATAATAATTTTATATTCAGTAATTTTTTCTTCGTCACAGATACTTTTGACATAGCTATTTAATTTTGTTGATACCTCTTGTGGTAAGAAAGTTTCATGCTCTTGATTGTGCATATTTTCAGATGGCAAAGCAAGATCCATCTTGAATATGAAAATATCTCTAAAATTCAACTAAAATAGAAGCTAAAAACACGGTAGTTGCCCACTGAGCAAGCAATACAACTGTTTCAGGAAAATCTATTTCAGGTGTGCTTTACAAAATATTTACAATTCTTTGCATCTTATGTTTATCGTTATTTAAATGTCAATATCGTTCGAAATAATTCCGTTCTGTGAATATCATTAAAATGCTAGTTTTAAGTAGCGTAAATAATAGTCTTAAGACAAATTATTGTCATGGAGATTTATTTATTTATTTACTTCAGTGAGAAAAACCAACAAGTACAAAAATGATAATGCTCAGATTGATATACTATGGGGCGACTCCCACATACAAAGAAACAGAAACATACTACAGCACTATCTAACGAAGACACACCGAGCTACGGAGTAACTCATGAATGACAATTGCTAATTCTGTATCGCGATATGAAGAAATCTCACGCCGATAAGCATATATACAACTTCCCAACATCAACTGTAGGGCCGCGGTCCGCCAGGCATGATCACCTCGTCTGTTTGGAGGTCCTCCCTTTGTGTTGTAGGAACATGACACCCGTTCCTCTACAACTACATTAAGCCAATTACAGGTCTTTACGAATTGAATCATTGTAATTTAATAGAGGTACTGGAACACTAACTAACACAATACTACACCTATCCAATAAGTATAATGTATCTAAAAATGGTACGATTTTAAAAATTTAAAGGTTTAGCATACTGCGCACAACACTGCTTTTGGTATTGAAGGGATTAAAAGAGTGCTCTGCTCAAAGGGAATAGGAATGGGTGGATTAAATCTAATCGACCTATGGGGGACATTGAACTTTAACTTTTGCACAAGGCTAGGACAGTAAATTTCATAAGAAATAATTTTCAAAAGAAAGGAACAATCAGCCAATCGACGTCGATTTACAAGTAGCTGGATATGAAATTTTCTGCAAAGACCAATGTACTTGTTGTAACCTCAGAAAACGTTTCTGCATCTTCTCAATGCGATTAATTTACCTATGATAGCAAGGGTTCCAAATTTGCAATTCATACCAGGTGGCTCCTAACAAAAGTACAGTAGAGAATTTTAAGCGTTTTAGCTTTCACAAAACATTTGGAAATTGTCATTACAAACCCCAGAGCCTTGGAAGCCAGCAATAATTCGCTCAATACTTCGAGCAGTAACTTTGAATCATGATAAACACATCTTGGTAATACTTGTTCCTTAAATTCGTATGGTGCTAGTATTGGAGAACGTTTCCTAACAAACGTGACAACTGAGCATTTCGCGGGGTTTCGCTAAATTTTATTTATCATACGCCATGAGGCTGACAGGAGTTTTTTTAATTCGTTGACAGAATAAACAATAACAAATGTCTTACTCCAGAAATCGACACTAATAGGTATGCATTAGAGTTGCCGCGAATACTCGCTATTATTCGGTATTCGGCTTTACTCGTCATTTTTTTGATATTCGTCGAATACCGAAAAATAGCTAGTATTATTCGGCATTCGGCGAATAGTCGTCTAAAATAAACTTTTAATGAACAAAAAAACTAATGAGTTAAAAATAAACATTTTTTTAATAATTTTCCCTATTAAAACAATACAAAATATCAATTATTATCTGTAATATGTGCCTGTGCCTATCATATTCATGCAATTAAATTAGTTAGGCTTTTTAATTAATATTTATAATCCAACAGAGGCAGATTGTGGTGCAAAAAAACAATTTTTTCTGCACGTTCGGGAGCAAGTCGGTTCCGTTTTTCCTCGTAAATTAAACCTGCCTCGGAAAATAGTCTTTCTGAATAAACAGAGCTTGCTGGTGTGATTAAGTATCGTTTAGCAAGCTTACTTAAAATAGGAAATCTATTCTTATTGGTACTCAAAGTCCACCATTCATATGGGTTTATTTTTCTGTCAGCCTTTGGTAATGCGATGTAGTTGGCGATTTCTTCAGCAGTGGCATTCTTGGGTTGCTCTTCAGTAGGTTGCTCTATAGATGATTCTTCAAAACATGCCCAAAATAGTTTATGAGTTTCCGAATCGATCTGCTCACTTTCATTGTCTAAACGAGACCTTTTGGATGCCGTTTCTGGATCCGAATCATCATTTTCGTCATTTAAAGAAAGCCTAAGACCTTCTCTGAGCGCAGCTCTACGGATCCGTTCAACTTGGGTAGCGTCAAAGTAAAAGTTCTTGTAGCGGGGGTCTAAAAATGTCGACAAGTAATATGTCTTCCTAAAGCATAGATCGTCCAAGTTAAAACGGGCTTCCATATTTTCTATCAACGCCTTTCTAAAATCATCAACGTGTGCAGTTTGTTGAATCAGCGCATCTTTCATTAGGTATCTGCTTAATGAAACAGTGCTAGGTATCACATCTGATATAGGTGCATATGTGGAACTCGTGATTTTTGTTATCTCTTCGAAAGGTTTTAAGAGCTTTAACAGATGTTCTATAACCTCCCACTGATCACTGGTCAAATTTTCAAAATTCACGCTCCTTGATTCTGAAATATACACCGAAATTGCTCTTTTTTGTTCAGATAGACGCTCCAATAAGTAATATGTTGAGTTCCAGCGAGTTTGAATATCTTGAATCATTTTATGCTTAGGAAGTCCTAGCTCAGATTGAATACTTTCAAGTTTTGTATATCCTGAATGATTAAAATGTGTCACTATGCGGCGGGCACTAGTAAGAATTTCTTTTATTGGAGAACTGTTATCTAATGCATTATTTATCACCAGCTGAAGAGTATGTATGAAGCAACGCTCTGAAGGAAGTAGAGTTTCCTTAACTCCTTTAACCATATTCGCCCCATTATCGTGAACAATCGCTTGAATTTTAGTGATGGGTATGTCCCATTTCGTTACACACTGTAACAGTTCTCTTTTGATATTTTCTGATGTGTGTGATTCAGGAAAATGTGCCATGTTTAGAACAGCATGATTCAGAAAGTTTTCTGATATCCAGTGTCCTGTGAAACTCAGAAATGCAGCATTATTTACAGAAGAAGTCCAAAGATCGCTAGTGGATGCTATAGCTTCAGCCCTTTCCAACTCGTTTTTTAGTTTGTTAACCACTCTCTCATACATGTCTGGAATTATTTTCTCGGTGATATATGTCCTGCCAGGAATGGTGTATTGCGGCAAAGCATTATTAATAAGACGTTTAAAGCCCACATGATGATCGACGATGGAAAGTGGCTCGTTGTCAACAGCAATCATTTCACCAATTAAGTAGTGATATCTTTTTGCTCGGCTATCGTTGATGTCCCAGAGCTTTTTTTTTTCAAGTAGTTGTTGCAGTGACTGTTGCACCAAAGGCTGACTGGGTAACTGGGTGGACGAGGAGGTACTTGAAGATGACTCTGCGGGAGCATTATGTTGAGCATGACTACTTGAGCTTCCATAAATTTTACAATACTCATCTGCGCACAAAGAAAAGAACCCTTAATCAGGAACGTAGGTAGCGGCAATTATTTAAATAATGTGCTACAAAACTCACAATACTACAATATACTTCATAAATGAAAATAACTTTTGAAATAAATATTATATTCTTACTAAATTCTATTATTACTTAGTAACGGTAAAATAAATAATATAAATAAAAAAAAAAACTAACCTGGGTGTTTAAATTTCAAATGATTCTGCAAAGCCGTTGTTCCTGCTTTTTTTGCTGCTCTACTTATTTTTACACCACACAAAACACATTTTGCACTGTTCTCTAACTCTTCCTCTTCAAAATGTATCCAAACATGAGATTTTTTTTTTGGGGTAGCCATGATTGTTCTTCTTTTTAAGTAACACTTTAACTAATTAAGTATTCATCAAGTCTTTAATTCAATAGCAATTTTCAAATAAGTATAGAAATAAAAACACGACAACCGATGTCTAAAATCAAATAACAAATGCGGGCCGCCTATCCTAAACACAAGCGTATTGATTGAGCGGGAAATCCCCTACAATAATAAATGCTGGGTTATACAAACGGGGTATTCCCCATAAACTATGAAAAGGGTTGCCAGCATTTAAAAGTGGAAAATTAAATTTACTACATATATGTAAATATGTATAACACGAAACAGATTTCTTTAACTTTATTGTTTTCTTTTCTCACAACCTAAGAAGAAATTAGAAATATTTTTAATGTGTTTTTTATGTCGAATAGTGATGTCGAGTTATTCGACTATTCGTCAAAGTGAATGGCGATTAATCGGTATTCGACTATTCGCTATAACCACTATTCGCGGCAACTCTAGTATGCATTAACCCATTCTGGAGCTGAATTCTTGTGCCGCTTTTACAAAGTTTATTCATTAACGAAATCAAAGGGGTTAGGGCTTTTTTAATATTACTTATGGTTATATATTAGAGTCTAATAGTAATTTGAAGCATGTGTGGCGCTCAATGTGTGACATACTTAACTCAAATATACATACCAGAGTACGCATCATTAGGAATCATATTTTAATTTGAACCTTCTTAATTTAAAGGTCAGGTCAACGGTAGATGAAAGCCGATTTCAACCAGACCTCCAAATATAAAATAATGATGGTAATTAATGTTTAAACAGTAAATATAAAATTTAACTCTGACTCCTGGCTTAACAAATATTTATATTTACAATGTTTTATTATTTATCTCCAACAAAATGTTAGGGACAACGGTATGGGCCCGACCGGCAAGGTGCTTCAGGTGCCTGTCGGTGGGTCACGTAGGGGTGCACTGCACGGCGGAGGCCACCGTAGGTGACCGATGCTTCCGCTGTGGCCAGCCCGGTCACAAGGCGGGTGGCTGCAACGCTCCGCTGCGTTGCTTTAGGTGCGCAGCGGGGGGCAAGCCTGCCGACCACCGGGTTGGTGGTAAGGCCTGTGCCCTATCGCGACCGAAGCCGGGAGGCCGACCTTCCGCCTCCGAGCCGCTGATCCAGACGGAGAGTGCCGCTGGACAGCCGCAAAGCTCGCTGCGGGATGCGGGGAT